TTCAGTGGGAGAACGAAACCTCTTTCTCTGTAGTGTTGATAACAACACTTCGTGATGTTTGATACAACTTGCAGCGCTTATTACTTTCTTTTCGAGAACATTAGGAAAAAAAATAGCTCTCCTAAGCAACAGAAAACTGAGAACGGAAAAAATAAATATCTTGAAACAAGTATCCGCAAGAAAACCACTCGTCTGTGGGACACTGGCTGTCTTGCGCATACCTCTACCTAACCAATTCATTTGCCAAAACCAATTTTGTAACCTCTTCCAATTCACCTTTACACACACAACACACACACACACACACACACACACACACACACACACACACACACACACCACACACACACACACACACACACTGCAACACATACTGAGCCGCAGTGATTGAGAATACCAGAAAAAAAGATACTTGAAATACCTTTTTCTTCGTTACCATACGTGGCGAGGCAAACAAACAGGAATCAAAGGAAAGGATATTAATAATGTAATTATACAACAATTTGTGGAAAGTCTGGGTTCTAGCCTAAATAAGTAACTACTGGATGGAGGGCGCTGTTGCTAGGCAACAGTTGACCTGTAACTGGTTTCGAGGGGTTTTCTACCCCGCATCCCGAACTGAGACCAGGCTTCCTTGTTGATCTGGTCAACTAGGTCGTTTTTGCTAGCGGCCCGCAAACCCACAAAGGTCTCACAACCCGGTTGATCCAGCACCTATAGAAAGAAACAGTGCACAGTTTATCCGAAATCTCTTTCTTAGTTCCAGCAATGTTTTTGATATCTGCTGGAAATGCGTGGAGTCTTAATTAAGCTATGGATGAGAGTGTCCTTGCATATCAAACATAAGGGCTTTTGTTAGGTTAGAAGTCTGGTCATTAACCCGGCCGCGGGGGCGCTGACCCCCGGAACACCCTCCAGGTATGTTAAACTAATGCTAACTTTTTATTGTGGCAACGTTTCGCTCTCCAGGAGCTTTGTCAAGCCACAATAATTTATTTCATTAATTGCACATGTGTCCTGTTAGCTAACATATTGTCGGTAATTCTACCAACATTATTACATAAAAGCTTTTGCGACACGTTGGAGATTCAAGACAGCAGCAGCAGAATGAGTTAGGAAAACCTCGTTAAAAGTTCCTAAATGCGTCTGTCTTGTATCAGGAGCTTAATGTCCTAAACATCACAGTGGTTCCTTCCCTTCTGCAGAGAGCACGTCTACAAGTACATGATACAACTTATACAAGTCTAGCTAACATCACTGGCATACTATACAGAAAGCCCCTAGTTATGCAGAGCATTTTGGGCAACTTGGGTTAACTGAGTGCAAGTTATTTAGAGATCATAAAATTGAAGTTGAAAATTTTTGGAATTTTTGGTTTTCTTATAAAAAATAGTGCAAACTTCTGGCAACATGTTGATGCAATCAGCTTGTTTCTATCATATTTCTAAGTATTTTTTTTTTTAAATGTAATTTTTATTTTTTTGCTGTCATCAAGAGGACATGTTGGCAGTGTTCTTATTTTTTTTTTTACTCCAAAAATTACTATTGTTGTGATTGTTTCATTCTCAACACTCAACACGGCAAGTTCTGGGACGACTAAAGTGAAGAGCACAAAGTTGTAGCTGCTCAGTCGCCTCTGGGATGTCAACAATGATGGGGGGGTTTTACAACACGCTCAAATTTAGTGTTGTATCTCCATAGAGTTTTATAGAAACAAAAATTTGAATAACTCAAGAATAAATTATTGACATTTGTTTTAATTTTTTTGCGAAGAGTAATAATCGGAGTGTCATGATTTTTTCACACAATATTGATGAATGATGGTTCTATTAATATTCAGAGGTGTTATGCAATATGTTTTGCCATTTTGTTTTTGTTTTTATTTCTCACAAAAAAAGTTTGAAATTTAGATAATCTAACTCTATCTTTCATCTGATGTTGACTAGAACATTGTACAACTTACCAATTTTGTAGGGTATGGAGGGTTTTATGATAAATACAATTTTGCAATATCTTGCAACTTTGCAGCAAGGAGTCCATGCAAACATGTGTATAGGATGCAAACTGCTCCTTAATAACAGCATAAAGTTACACTTGAAAGTGGACCAAAAACAAAAAGAACCCAAAAACGTGTCTCTCCATCCCTTTAATCTTGTCCCCAAGATGCGACCCACACCAGTCGACTAATACCCAGGTACCTACTTACTGCTAGGTGAACAGCAGATGGAAGGACACATGCTCAGCTTTTCACCCGTGCCGGGGATCGTTTCTGGACCCTCAGAATCAGTACTAATTTAGTCGAGGTACTTTAAGCCCACGTCTTCCATCCAGTTCCATCGCTTCTATTTTTCAATAGGGTATGGTAGGGTAAATCCCCTTCTCCCCCTCCTCTCCCGTTTTCCATACCAGAAATGGCCGGAGGGAGTGGAGTGGGGAAAGAGGCTTATGCAAATAGGTAATATACGATAGTTTTAGTTGTCAATCCAGATAGTAGATAGTTCTCCCCAGTAGACAGCCTCGTTGTGAAAGTACGAGGCCTCTGCTGTCTTTGTCACATACACACCAACTCATTTCCCTCTTATTTGTCTCGCTTAATTTTAAAGATAGCAAAAGTATTTGATTTAATGGCCTTGCTAGTTTGTTGCACCTATCAATACGTCTATTGCCAAAGCAGAGTTCTTTCCAAATATTTGTAAATCTGAATTGATCCAATTGGAATTCATTGTTTTGAATTTCATTTTGATTATACATTCTAAGAACAAAAAGGCACAATACCGTGACTGGAATACAGAAATAACCCGCACATAGGAGAGAGAAGCTTATGACGACGTTTCGATCCGACTTGGACAATTTATAAGTGTGACTTATAAATGGTCCAAGTCGGACCGAAACGTCGTCGTAAGATTCTCCTACATGCGGGAAACTTATGTACACATCCTCGGTATCCTACTGATACCCCTCTTTATTTATACCCTCCTTCAACTTACACGCCAAGAAATACAACATTGTCCCTCACTAGTACATTCCCAGGTGGCTTCTACCACGACTACGTCGGAGCACACCAATACATTAGAGTGGTTGAATTAGCAAGGCACGAGACACCAAGAAATTCTTGCTGGCGTAACTCCTGCCATCCCAACCCTGTGGCTCGTTACCGCCACCTTCAAGCACCTATTTTAACGAGAAACTAAAATAAGATGGCGTATGTACGGTGTGTGGAGCATTTGTGAAGTAATATCGACACTACCTTATTATTATGTAAACCGCTGTCTGTGCTAGCACCTAAGACATGCATACAATAACCCAGGGCACCACATCTAACCTCAAGGGTATACAGTACACTGACAACTATCGGACTTTTCACAACTAACTCGTACACCGGAGACGAAACCAGACATTCTCTCCGTCCTTAAGAATTATTAAGACGCGATTTGATAGCTGATACCAGTTAAAGACCGACCGAAATCAGTATAATTCTTTCAGCTATACTGTTGTGGTCTGTGTGTATGCGTATTATTTACTTATTAAAGCAGTAATCTATTTGTATTATTAGTATGCAGGTAAACTTGAACCTTAATGATCACTGTGCAGTCGAGAGATTATAACAAAGTAACACGTAGCCTCAGTATTGTAATGCTGCCAGTTGCCAACCTTGCAATATTCAACATTTGATCAATTAGTAGTGGTGGTGACTGCCCTTTACATCCCAGCGCTAAGGCGTTGCAACTAGTTCATGATTTATTCATGAAAAAAAAGAGGACATAGTATAGGTAAGTACAAATAGGAAGCTCGTCTGTCTCCCGCTCAGCCTTGCTCTGAATGACCCACATGAGTTTAGCGCTTAACATGAATTATTATCATAAAAAACCGTAGTCAATTATACTTAAATGTGAGATAACTGACAGGGGAAGGGGGAAAACAGATTATAATTTCGGGTCTAGGGGGGAAAACACCTCACAACACAAGATGCAAATGGCGTACTGTCGACAATGTAGTACATGAATGGTATACAGTGCCGATAAGTTGAAGAATTAGACACATGTGCAACATCTGGGTATCTTTATTTGTAAGCGTTTCGCCATCCAGTGGCCTTTTTAATACAAATGGGAAGACTGTAGAACTATATACAAAAGACTATGCAATCAGATCCTCAGCCTTGGAGTTGGCGAAGAGAACCGTAGTCTTGAAGACTCTGAAACACAGGTTTCGGATTCTTAAAGACTAAGGTGCTCATCACCAACTCCAAGCCTGAAGGACTGATTACCTCGTTTTTTGTATATAGTTCTACAGTCTTCCCATTATGCCCTTGAATCTGTATTGATAAAGCCACTAGATGGCGAAACTCCTACAAATAAAGATACCCAGATGTTGCACGTCTCTAATTCTTCCATTGTCGACAATATTAGAGAGACGCTGCAGGACAAGCTTATTCTTGGACACTGTTTTCCTTGATTAAGAGCTTTTACCAGAGCGAAACGAGTCCCAAACACTTGTGCAACGTATCTTTTTCTCGTTAACCACATCACATTACAGGTGGCAAGCGACTCCTGGTATGGAACTTGCCTTCTGGACTTGGGGGAACATAACGCATCAAACTGAGGTGATAAGCCACTCAACGTAGGTCAATTACACTTTAAAATTAAGGATGCACACAGTTTATACTCTATTGTGGCAGTGGCAAGAAATCATTGGCTGCCACAAGCTTATCTCGGATGGCCAGCGGTGAGAGGTAAATATCCAACCCTTTTCATCCAATCATTGGAGATATTAATTGGATTAAATTGAGGTATTCAAACCAAGAGGCGGGAGATTATGAAGGTGATGGTGGGGGAGACAGGTGGTGATGGTGAAGAGGCAGATGGTAATGGGAATGAGTGGTAACTCAAGACTGATAAGGTCTAATTGATAGTGATGAGAATGTTGAGAGATGTGAGAGAGGGAGGTGATGCTGAGGAAAGTGAAAATGCGGAGTGAGAACCACGAGGTAGAGAGTGACTTACCGCTGCGGAGGTTGTGGAGGTCGAGCTCCTGCTGCTCGAGTCGTACTTCCAGAGCTTCAGCTGCCTGGGTAGTCTCGACGTAGCGTCTCTTCAGTTCATCGTAGTCGCGCGTCGCTGTGGTGATAGAAAAAAAAAAACTTGTGACACTATGAATGATTAGTGACTCTCAGGTTCTTGTGTGTTTCTGGTTTCTTGTACTCACCTAGTTGAGGTTGCAGAGCTCGAGTCCAAGCTCCTGGCTTGGACTCGAGCTCCTGGCCCCGAGTCCAAGCTCCTGGCTTGGACTCGTGTGTGTGTGTGTGTGTGTGTGTGTGTGTGTGTGTGTGTGTGTGTTTCCGTGTGTGCGAGCCTAGTGCATGTTTTTAGGGTTCCGTGTATGTGTGTCTGCGTCAACCCCAAAAAAACTGAATATATATTGCACACATAATGAATTAAATGTTAAGACATGTCTATACACACGTCTACACACGGGCCTTCACACGTCTACACATTTACACACGGGCCTACACATGCCTACGCAATAGATACCTTTATTTTTTTACCCTTTATCATTAAAGGAAGAGCTAGACATATGCGACCAAAATATCACTGAAATTAACAGCGGGGCTGCGGGGGCGTTGACCCCCGAAACCCTCTCCAGGTGTATATATATATATGTATATATATATATATATATATATATATATATATATATATATATATATATATATATATATATATATATATATATATATATATGTCGTGCCGAATAGGCAGAACTTGCGATCTTGGCTTAAATAGCAACGCTCATCTTGCCATATAGGACAAGTGAAAATTCGTGTATGCAATAATTTCGCCAAAATCATTCTGAACCTAACTACAAATATATATTTCACTGTGTTTGTTTAGCATTAAATTATTGTAAACAAATCTAAAATATATTTAGTTGGGTTAAGCTAAAATAAATTGTTCTTGTTATAATAAGGTTAGGTAAGTTTTCTTAGTTCCTTTTGGTGCAAAATTATAAATTTTTACATCAACATTAATGAAAAATATATATCTTTAAACGTATAAGATAAAATTTTAGAAAGGACTTAATTTTAAATGAGTTCTTGCTAATTGACCAGTTTTACATATTCGGCACGACATATATATATATATATATATATATATATATATATATATATATATATATATATATATATATAATATATATATAATATATAATATATATATATTCGATTAGGTAAATAGTAGGCTAGTAGATAACAACCCTCACGAGAAGTGCTATTATCCTCGTGTGAATGTGAACATGAACAGGAACCCTGTTAAATATTTTGCACTCTGGCAAGATTACTTGTCGTTTCTTACTGCCTCATGAACATCTCAAGTCATGGGTCTGAAATCTGCTCTTGAGACTAGGTTTGAGATACGGTAGTAGTGGTTTTGATCTTCAAAACCTCATCAAAAAGCCTCAATTTTGATGTATCAACAATGAATCATTTCTCCAAAACCTGAAGTGAAAAATGTTTTCAATGAAATTCTTTAGTTCCCTAATGAGATTTTTTATTAAATTTGTCTGAAGAATTGAGACACTTATGCAACACCTGGGAATCTTTATTGAAGAAACGTTTCGCCACACAGTGGCTTCATCAGTCCAATACAAAGTAGAAATGGGTAAGGAGAGGAGAAGTTTGAGGTAATCAGTCCCTCAACCTGGAATCGATGTGTTCAGTCCATCCTACAAGAGTGATGGACTGAACACATCGATTCCAGGTTGAGGGACTGATTACCTCAAACTTCTCCTCTCCTTACCCATTTCTACTCTGTATTGGACTGATGAAGCCACTGTGTGGCGAAACGTTTCTTCAATAAAGATTCCCATGTGTTGCATAAGTGTCTCAATTCTTCAACTTGTCGGTTTTCTAAACCTTTCATCACATTAAATTTGTCTGTTATTATTTTTTATTTCAGGGAGTTTATTTTTCATTTTATTATTTTAATGTTTAAAAGTTGTTTTATCGCGTATAATATATACTTTTCAGTTGTATGACTGTATTCTCCATGACTCAAGAAATCGTAATGACACGATTGCAAACAAACCATACCTCCGGCCGGGATTGAACCCGCGGTCATAGAGTCTCAAAACTCCAGACCGTCGCGTTAGCCACTAGACCAGCTAGCCACAATAAGATTCATCCAACTAGGTATATTTCTACACCATAGGAAGGTTAGCACAGGCACCTCTGTGACCACAAATGCAAGTTTTTACAGACGAATCTCCGGCTAGCGTGGCCGTGACGAACTCTAGCTCAAGTCCCTTCACTGCCGTCAACATGACTCAAGAAATCGTAATGACACAGAGGTGCCTGTGCTAACCTTCCTATGGTGTAGAAATATACCTAGTTGGATGAATCTTATTGTGGCTAGCTGGTCTAGTGGCTAACGCGACGGGCTGGAGTTTTGAGACTCTATGACCGCGGGTTCAATCCCGGCCGGGGGTATGGTTTGTATTCTCCATACAAATGAATGAAATTAACTATTTTGAACTTCAAGGCGCCTTGTATTTTCCAGATTATGTGGACTTTCAAGATTAGTGGGAAGTTTCCCTCTACACAAATTTGTTTTGGGGTGATACACAAGAGGTCGCTGATCTCTGCTCAAAACCATTAACGTGGCAGGTAACCAACTGATAAATTAGGAAAAGGTAAAGATTTACCCAGAATTCATCATTTACCAAAAAATAATGAATTGTCAGTACGCCTGACTAAAGTCACAGGAATATTACTCTCCCTGTGCTACCTGACTTAAACCATACCACGGTTCGGGATAGAACCCGCGGTCAGTCATAAAACTCCAGACCCAGCTAGAGTTCGTCACGGTCACGCTGGCGGGAGACTCGTCTGTAAAAACTTGCATTTGTGGTCACAGTGGTGCCTATGCTATCCTTCTTATGGTGTATAAATATACCTAGTTGGATGAATCTTTTTGTAGCCAGCTGGCCCAGTGGCTAACGCGTCTATCTGGAGTTTTATGACTCTGACCGCGGGTTCTACCCCACCCGTGGTATGGTTTGTTTGCAATCGTGTCATTACGATTTCATGAGTCTACCTGACTTCTGATGTCGCAAGTGATTTTTCTCCAATTTTTGCATTTTAGAAAGCAGTATAATTATTTCTTCAGTAAACCCCCCTCCCCCGAGAGTTTAAATAAAAGAGACCTGAACTAGTTAAATCTGTCTGGGTCTGGGCACTCAGCAGTCTGGTGGGGTCGTGGAGGGGTGGGGGAGACTGAGCGTAGCTTTGAGAATAGGTTGGACAAATATGTAGATGGGAGAGAGATTAAAATTTAAGAAGAACCTGCCTAGTATGGGCCAGCAGGCATTCTGCAGTGTTCCTCCATTCGAATATGTTTGTGCATGCTTCTAACTCCTGCTCTGAGGTCAATGTGACGTAAGTCGCTGTAATATTTGTAACGGCTTGACAAAGCTCCTGGAGAGCGAAAGGTTGCCACAATAAAATGTCACATGAATTGCATCTATGTCCATTTACCTAACATTGGGCCAGCTATGACTGACGTAGATAGTTGGGTCAGTTCCTACTGACTCGGGATGAGGTAGGGTAGGGGAGGTGAGCACACTCGGTGTTGGGCATAAAGGAGAGTTTCCGAGATAAAAGTCAGCAAGGACACACATTCTCTCATTTGACTCATTGTATGATATTCATCCACTCAGTCACAAATGCACTGATCTGGCTGAGTCACTTGGTGACCAGTCGGGTCACTGTTGGATGGTTGCCATGGAAGGAGTGCAAGTGCCTCAAAGTGCTACATTGTTCCCAGTGTCTCTGACCTTACACAATGTTGAAGAATGAGACTTGTGCAAGATTTCTCAAGATTGATAGAGTGAACACATTGACTCAAGGCTGAGAGATGACTACTTCGTCTTTCTATGTAATAATAATAGGAGTCCTCAGGCTGTTCTTCAACTCTATATATCTTTGGTTAGGCCTCATATAAATTATGCTGCACAGTTTTGGTCACCGTATTACAGAATGGATATAAATGCTCTGGAAAACATACAAAGGAGGATGACAAAGTTGATCCCATGTATCAGAAATCTTCCCTATGAGGATAGACTGAGGTCCCTGAATCTGCACTCTCTGGAAAGGCGTAGAATTAGGAGGGATATGATTGAGGTGTATAAATGGAAGACAGGAATAAATAAAGGGGATGTAAATAACGTGCTGAAAATATCTAGCCTAGACATGACTCGTAGCAATGGTTTTAAGTTGGAAAAATTCAGATTCAGGAAGGATATAGGAAAGCACTGGTTTGGTAATAGAGTTGTGGATGAGTGGAACAAATTCCCAAGTACAGTTATTGAGGCTAAAACGTTGTGTAGTTTTAAAAATAGATTAGATAAATACATGAGTGGGTGTGGGTGGGTGTGAGATGGACCTGACTAGCTTGTGCTACTAGGTCAGTTGTCGTGTTCCTTCTTTAAGTGAATGTGACCTGCCTTGACTAGGTTAGGGCATTGGCTTAAGCCGGTAGGAGACTTGGACCTGCCTCGCATGGGCCAGTAGGCCTGCTGCAGTGTTCCTTCTTTCTTATGTTCTTACGTTCTATGTATGTTATTCGCTGTTTTGGCGAAACGTTTCCCCAATAAATATTCGGGAATGTTGCACAAGTGTGTCATTCTTCAATCTGTCGGTTTTCAAAACCATTTTCATCACTTGCACAATGTCCCTATTCGCGTGTGGTTTTTAAGCACAGTGTGACTGCTGTTGAAGACTTTTTTTTTATAATATGACATAAGGTATTTGAGGGGGTAGATCATAAAGAACACGATAGTGTGTATTGCCTACAGTAAGGTGTTTAGCTCCTTTTGCCTTTCCTTATAGCTTATACCCCTCAGCTCTTGGACTAGTTTCGTTGGAAACCTTTAAAAGTTTTCCAGCTTCTTTACATGCTTTGTAAGACTAAAAAAAAAAAAATCCCGTCTCTACTAAGTTTACTATTTAATAAAATAAATTCCGATGAGAATTTAACAGGCAAAGAGCTGCTATTTTGCCACAGCTCATTCAGTTAACCAAGATGTTTGTATACATTCTACAAGCCGAGCTGAATAGTAA